CCTCATCTTTGTTGCCATATTTATTACAATGTTTCGGCCCTTTAGTATCTGTCTATATTTCTGAGATGAGGTATTATGTACACTATTTACATTATTCTGACTATCTTTGTCGCCATATTTATTACAACCTTTCAGCCTTTCAGTATCTGTCTATATTTCTGAGATGAGGTATTATGTACACTATTTACATTACTCGGACTAGTGTCCTCATCTTTGTCGCCATATTTATTACAAAGTTTCGGCCCTTTAGTATCTGTCTATATTTCTGAGATGAGGTATTATGTACACTATTTACATTATTTGGACTATTGTCCTTATCGTTGTCGCCATATTTATTACAAAGTTTCGGCCTTTCAGTATCTGTCTATATTTCTGAGATAAGGTATTATGTACACTATTTACATTATTCGGACTATCTTTGTCGCCATATTTATTACAACCTTTCAGCCTTTCAGTATCTGTCTATATTTCTGAGATGAGGTATTATGTACACTATTTACATTACTCGAACTATTGTCCTCATCTTTGTCGCCATATTTATTACAAAGTTTCGGCCCTTTAGTATCTGTCTATATTTCTGAGATGAGGTATTATGTACATTATTTACATTATTCGGACTATTGTCCTCATCTTTGTTGCCATATTTATTACAACGTTTCGGCCCTTTAGTATCTGTCCATATTTCTGAGATGAGGTATTATGTACACTATTTACATTATTTGGACTATTGTCCTTATCTTTGTCGCCATATTTATTACAAAGTTTCGGCCTTTCAGTATCTGTCTATATTTCTGAGATGAGGTATTATGTACACTATTCACATTATTCGTAATTCATAGTCCTCATATTAAATATGGCCACAAAGATGAGGACAATAGTCCGAATAATGTAAATAGTGTATATCGCTATTACTTTAGCAGATGTTCGGTCGAGTCACATTCTTTAGTTCCACTAGATCATGGCAAGGACCCGGCATGACACGTTCATGGTTGTAAACAATCTCTCTTTCCTTCGTGGTCCTTTGATAAAAAGCAAGTTCCACTCAGACAACTTGTTTCCCAGATACTTTGTGGAACAAACTCCCGAGAGAATGTTTCTACAATGATGGTCTGTTTAAATCTAAGGTCAACCGATATCTTTCCTACTCCCCCTAATCATTCTTACTGACCCCCTTTTGCTCCTGCTGCACAATCTCACTCAGTAACCCTCTATCTTTAGTAGCTCTTGGGCCTTGTCATGGCTGAACTAACAGTAAAAAAAATAATTCATGTAGAAACGTGTCTTTTGAAGCAATTTCTTATTTTTACGCGTTTGATTTAAGACCAAAGATAATTCGTTGTTTAATCCTTTTTAATTTACTTTTGCTTCGGTTCGGACCATTTTTCTGGTTTTCAGGCAAAGCTTGAACATAAATTGTTGTGTTTTATCTGGAAGTTTTCAGCTTTTATAAGCCATTATAAAAGACTTTATAAGTATGTGCTTATAAGTATAAATTGTGTTACTTTGATGGTTTTCAAGCGACGAATGTTCGCGCATCGGTGACTGTCCTGTCGAGTTAACTTACTATTTATCCGATAATAGGACATAGTGACGCGTAAAGACGTGGTACTCGAAAACAACGAAGCAGACGCAATGCATGCCTACCAAGATAATCTTATTAACACAAGAAATTCTTTGGTTTTTGAAAGCTAAAAGCGATCAGAATCTATTGGACAGTTTTTTTTAAACCAGAATCTGCTCAGAAACCAAAAAAAAAAATGGTTCGCGCAGAAGAAGTAAAACTTAAACAAAGAACTTTCGTTCAACCAAACATGCACCCCCCCCCACTCATACATATTAAATTGGATCGAATAAATCCAAAACGCAAGATAACAGCATATTTCCATTGCTCACACATACCGGGTTTAATAGTAACATTATCCAAATCGTCTAACAGCAAAATTGTCTATTTGTTCGATTAAGCTTTGAACCGTTTTATATGTAAAAATTTAATAATTCAGGGTGATTGAAATATAACACCCTATTTTATATCTGGGTGGCCAGGCAGAATTCTTGACTTAACACCCTGGGACTTCTTTCTTTGGGGTTGGTCAAAGAAGCATCTCTACTATACCAAACCAAGAATTTGGAAGGAATTGAAGGGCGAATAAAAGAAGTTATGTCTTCCGTACCACAAGAGTTCCTAGTGTATTCTTGGGCGGCTCGAGAAGTTGGAAGCAAAATCTGGTGCCCATATCGAATTTTAAATAAAACCTCATGACAAACACTTTCCTCTCATATCCATTTCTTGTAAAAAAAAATTATAGTCAATAAATAAATTATAAGTATTTTAAAATGGGGAGTTACTTTTCAGTCACACTGTACTAGAAAATTGAAAAAATCAAATTGTCCTTGTCTGTCACATTCAACAAAACATTTCTGAAAGAATGGATGCTGTATTACACACATATGTGTGTATATATATATATATATATATATATATATATATATATATATATATATACATGGCCTTGTTCAGATTGTTGATCACGCTAGATAACAGGCTCTTTCCCAGAAACTGTAACTAAGGTCTGCTCAGCATAGTTGCAGGATAAACCAAAGGTGGGCTCTGTGGGTGTTGAGGGATGAGCCTGAGCAAACGTCTGCAATAGGGATTGGCTAAGCGCCCTAGTAGACGGGTATCCTCGAATACGTGTGGCCAACTATATATATATATATATATATATATATATATATATATTATTTTTTATAGATACAATTTATTTAAGTAAATGCTCTGTCTTTTTTATCAATCGGTATTAATTGCATTTACCGGCCTGAATGTTCGAGAAATTTCGAAGAAAATATGCGTTCTCCGACAGGAACCGAACCTATTCACATACGGAAATAATCATTTGACCTGATGTGCTATGCAATTTACAAATATAAAATTTTCCATTTCGCTGAGTGATGTTATCTTCAGTATCCCGGCTGTTGACTTTCGTAGACGGACTCTCCAGCAATCGCTCCGTCCAATCGTCTAGTGGATATTAGCAATTGAGTATATATATATATATATATATATATAATCATGTCTTGGCTTCGCAAAACGAAGATCACGAGGGAGTCTCTACATATCGCTTGCAGGCAAAGTTTGTGACTGATAAGTCCAATGCGAAACAGGCATACACGTTTGCAGTAGTTGCAGCTAAAAGTCTGGCCTGGGCTCGATGGCATAGCATTGCCGTACTTCCACGTCTGTCTCCTTGAGAGAGGCCTTGCAGTTATTATCAAAGAAGGAGAAAGCATGGCTGGTGGTGAGAGACCAGGCGTCATGGTTCTCAGCTAGGGTTGACAAGTGGCAATGGTTAATGTGACAGGCAAGAAAGGATTTTTTCAGGCAATTTTTGAATCGCTTCTTTGGTGTCCCTCTCTCACGATAGCCAGTGGAGAGCTCGCCGTACAATAAAAATTTAGGCTGGCCATAATTCTCCATTCTGGGAACATGTTCAGCCCAGCGCAGTTGGGACTTCAGAAGCATGGCCTCAATGTTGGTGATGGAACGAATACATTGAGTCAATAGCTTCGTCCACTGCAAGGAAAGTTGGCTCCTGTGCCGCGCCAGGAAATTTTTCTCGCCGGGGTCAATCCTTCAAATCTACAAATCAACCATTCACCCTTGCATGGAGTATTGCTGCCATATATGGTCTGGAGCCCCTTCTGTTTGTCTCAAGGTCATTGATAAAATCCAATGACGGATATGCAATGTCATTGGCCCTGATCTGGCATCTCGTCTGCAGTCAATCTCTCACAGACTTGCCGTTGCCTCCCTCTGTCTTTTTTACAAATACTTTCACGGTAACTGTTCCGATAAGCTGCTTTCGCTGGTTTCCATACTTCATGAATTTAACCGTTCAACTAAGCTGGCATCTTGTTCACACCCTTTCACAGTCGAAACTGTTAAGTGTAGCCGTCTCTTCTACTCCAATAGCTTCATATCTCGTACTGCTCGCCTGTGGGACTACCTCACCTTTTCCTGTTTCCCTGATAGCACTAATCTCCAACTATTCAAATGTAATATCAATCGACGTCTCCAGATGCCTTGATCTATCCCCTAACCTTCCCTTCATCCTTTCCGCTATCACTCCTTTTTGCCCTCGCTCCAACTCTCTGTAACCCCTTGCGTGATAGTGGCTTCCCGCCTTGCTTGGAGTGGAATGCTATATATATATATATATATATATATATATATATATATATATATATATATATATATATTGGAAATGTTCCGTTTGTTTAGAATTTCATTATTTGCAACATGACTTTTATCAGCAAGTAAGCTCGCCTACCAGTAACGTTCAAGTCAAATATGTCATTGTCATGCCCAGTAAACAAACCAGATACACACTGACACACGATCAAATAGACGTACTGAAGAGAATGACACTTATAATGTGAAGTTTGATAATACGACTAATAAAAGTCTCTTGCCAATGCATTCTGTTTCATTGTGGATGTTACATTAATTATTGTTATCCACGTTGCTAATCTGACTTAACAGGCCAAACTTTTGAGCATATCAACTGTTTCTACATAAATATTTTCGCATGTATAATATTTGCACAGATCTCATTACAAATTTCAGAAATGCTACCTTGCTTCTTGCGCATGCGGGAATGTGTCTCCACGTGACTCAACTCGGTGGAATATAGCGACGGTGGAGTCGGGTGAGCGCGTTAACTGAACTGGAACACTATTGATCTGGAGGCTGGCGAGGCGGAACAGCCGACTGCTTAGCACAAAGCATGGCGGCCAAGGATGCTTGTGGATTAGTCAGTACATTGCTAAAACCTTTCTTTGATTTGCAATTCACTAACTGAAATCTGACGCTTTGATCTACCAAGAAATATTTTATAAGCAAATTATTACAATTTCTCAATTCATAACGTGTTTTTTTTCCCCCTTTATTTGCTACATTCTTTTTTTGGCTCATTTCTTTGTTTCTTCTTTTTTTCTTTTAGTCCTACTATCTTACTTTTTCTTTTTCCTTCCTTCCTTCCTTCCTTCCTTCCTTCCTTCCTTCCTTCCTTCCTTCCTTCAATTCTTCCTGTTGCTTTCTTCCTTCACCTTTTGTTTATTTTATGTTAATTGTTTGTTTTCCTCATTTTTTTATTCTTTCTTTTCTATTTTCATTTTCCTTATTTTCATTTTTTTGTTTCTCTTTCTTTCTTTCTTTCTTTCTTTCTTTCTTTCTTTCTTTCTTTGCTTTCTTTTTGTTTTCTTTCGTTCATTTTTCTGTTTGTTTTCTTTCTTTCTTTCCTTCTTTCTTTTCTTTCTTTCTTTTCTTTCTTCCTTTTTGTCTTTTCTTTCTTTCTTTTTGTTTTCTTTCGTTCATTTTTCTGTTTGTTTTCTTTCTTTCTTTCTTTCTTTTCTTTCTTTCTTTTTGTATTTTCTTTCCTTCTTTCTTTCTTTCTTTCTTTTCTTTTTGTATGCTTTCATAATTTCATAGTTGCAGATTTCTTTCACCTTTTCTTTCATCATTTGTTTTACTGCATCGTCCTCAATATTTCCCTCTGTCTCTTTCCTTCACCATTTGCATACATCATTCGACCCTGTTCTCTTCCTTCTTTGCCAAATTCCATTGTTCTACAAGCTGAGGTGAGTAATCTATCAGCCAATATATTAACGGGTAAAATTAATAATTCTGATGACCGCATCAAACCTGAATTAAATCAGTAGTGGCTGTTGGTCGTTCTTTCCTCAAATAGCTGACTAATTTTGTACACAGAGAGACTGACAACCAGACAGACAGACAGACAGATAGATAGATAGATAGATAGATAGATAGATAGATAGATAGATAGATAGATGTGAAGCATTCCAGGCTATATACAGCTATAGATCTACTGATAATAGAGAAATGGGCAACTGATTAAACAGATAAGCAGAGAGATAGATAGATACACACGCCAGACAGACAGACAGACAAAGAGAGTGGTACACAAACAGACATAAAGACAGATAGATAGATAGATAGATAGATAGATAGATAGATAGATAGATAGATAGATAGATAGGAATCATCACAGGATATACGTTATGGATAGATTAATAATAGATAAATAGGCAACCTGAATAGACATACAAACAGATAGATACACAGAAGGACAGACAGATTGTCAGATAGATAGATAGATAGATAGATAGATAGATAGATAGATAGATAGATACTGGACATCCACGAGTAGATAGATAGATAGATAGATAGATAGATAGATAGATAGATAGATAGATAGATTGGAACAATCCTAATATGCAAACATTTATTAGAGAAATAAACAGATTGATTGACAGAAAAACAGATAGATTGGAAGACTGTGACAGATAGATTTGAATAACCCTAATATACAAAAGAATTATCATATAACAGACAGATAAATAGACAGATTGACAGACAGACAAATAGATAGATAGATAGATAGATAGATAGATAGAGAGAGAGAGAGAGAGACAGAGATAGATAGAGAGAGGGGGTGACAGAGAGGGAGAGAAATTTGAACAATCCTCATATACAAACATTTATTGGAAAATTGACAGATTGAGAAATAAACAGATTGAAAGATGCCGAGACAGGATATATATATATATATATATATATATAATAGATAAATCCACGAGTGACACACACACACACACATATATATATATATATATTATATATATATATATATATATATATATATATATATATATAGATCAATTTTGAAAATGGATGGAAACAAAAATCCATAAATAGATAGTTAAAATGAAAGAATTGTCGACGTCAGACGTTTCGGTTTTAATATATTGACGTCGACAATTCTTTCATTTTAACTACATTTATGGATTTTGTTTGTTTTTCAAAATTTCTACATTCTGTCGGATTTTATCCATTTACATAGATAGATTGCTTATATATATATATATATATATATATATATATATATATATAAACAGAGATAGATAGATAGATAGATAGATAGATAGATAGATAGATCTTCTAAGACAGATAAAATGTAGAAAGAATGATTACAAGAGAAATATTTTAATTTTAATGTTTTTCTTTTTTGCAGCATTTTAACTGTCTTTTAATCACCTTGCGTCAAAATTTAGTGCATTCTTCTAAAAGACTCATTTTAATCCGACAGTGATAAAGAAAGAAAGAAAGAAAAGAAAAAAGAGGAACATTTAGGCATAGGGTAATGGGGTGGGAGATGTTCAGTGTTCACTAAATAAAAAAAAACAACGTCATTTCTTCACAAAATCCCAAGTTTTAAAAACTAAAAGACGAAAGGTAAAGAAAAGAAAAATCAAGTCATCCTATCCACGTCGAATCTCGTTCGATGTGTTGAAACACCGTTTTTATCCTGTAAGGTCATTAAGTGAAGTTTCTCCTCTCGCTAGACTGGATTTCAAATGACGTCTTCATTCTTTTGTCTATATCAATCCAAACTAATAGCTTTAAGGAATCAATCGGAGAGAAATACAAATATCGATTTTAACTAGTTGATCTTGACTGCCTGAACAGTTGATGACGAATTTTTGCTGAATTCTTTTTAAACTATTTTTTTAAATTTTGTACCTGAACTTTATCTGTTGAGAGTCATCACCGACATTTGTTCCGTAGTCAAGAGGAAATTTTAATTTTCTTCATTGTTAACGTTATATGGAATATACGAGTACTTTAGATTTTACCAGTACATAAACGAAGTCTAGAAGCAAATTTTAAAAAAATTTTTTATCTACTACTAAATAAAATAACGGTTAACTCTAGACTTGAACAGGTTGTCTAGAGTTAACCGTTATCTTCTCCCCCCTTTCCGTATAAACTGCGCCTTAACATAAATCTCTACCTCGAGTGGAACCCGAGCCTTGTACAGGGTGAACCTTACTGTAAAAAAAAATGTTGATGTATATTTATCACTGTCAAAACTAGTAATGAATATAGTAGAAATGTTCACTAATTCTTGAGCAGTTGATATAATCGCTAAAACGATTTTACTAGTTCATGGGTGAAAGTGATAAACAGGAATTTTTCTCATTATTTTTTTATTGAAACTGATATTCAAGGGTGTGACAGATTATGTTGCCTGTCAAATATCGATGTTCTGAGCTATCGCGTCACAAAAGGTTGTGGAAAGGGCAATGCCATGTCGTGTAGAATAGTTTATTTTCATTTACAGGATATGGTTTCAACTGCTGAATTGTTTCATTTCTTCATCAGTATTTTGTTATTTCACCATCATCTGCAAATCACATACATCTATAGTAACTGTATTATCTGGTCGAGATAAGCAGTCAGTTACGATATTCTGATCACCGTTTATATGTGATATTTCACTAACATATTCACTTATAAAACAAAGGTGAGAATGTTGTCTGACAGATTTCAGTGAAGTTTGATTTTTGAAAGCATTTCAAATAGATTTGGGTGTTGTTCATGATGACGGTCGTCTTCGAGTATAGAATCCAGATGTTAGCAGTGAATATTTCGAAGACAGTAGGGAAGCGTTGTTCAGGTTAGCAGTGGATATTTTGGTAAAAGGTAGCAGAGCATAGTTTGTCCTTCTGTTTCTCTTCGCCTGACAAGCTGGACTGGACATTCGGGTAGAGTGAACAAAATGGCCGCCTTTATACACGACGGATTGAATATTCTACGTCTTCTGATTGGTTAACCTTCTATTGGTGGACTATAAAGTGAGTCAAGTCATTTGGATTGGCTCACTAGTCCAATGTATCCAAAAAATGTAACATTGTGGTCCTTTAATAATATTTAACCTCAGGGTTAACGAGAACGTACTCTGACCAGTCCTCATTTTCCAGAGTTCAAAGGCGTCCCCGAGTCCTTGTGGGTGACAAATTATTTTCCACCCTCCAACCTTTTTTCTCACAGGCGGGGTGTGGCGAGTCTCTCGCTGGTTCTGCCTGGTCTAACCTTCACGGCTAGGACCCGCCATGCCACTTACATAGCAGCAAACCACCCACATTCCACCCGTATTTCACCGGAATACGGAGGGAATGTGGAACGTACGTAAACAACACCATTTTTTTTACATGCGTTCCACTCGAACAGCTTCTTCCCGCGTACCACTGCCCTGTGGAACCGACTCCCAAGAGGATATTTCCCCAATATCTACAATCTAACCTGTTTAAGTTTTGAGTTAACCGTTATCTTCCCCTCCTATCTGTATAAACTGCCAATTAACGTAAACCTCTACCTACGGGTCTTTTACAGGATGAACCTTCCTTTAAAAATGAATTAATATTTATAACTGTCAAAACTAGTAATGGATCTAACAGACATTTTCACTAATTTATGAGAAAGTAATGTTATCACAAAAGAACATTCTTACTCTCCGCTTACTTAATCTCCCTGCCGTTACAACGTATCAACTGGGATCGAGATGACTAGAGATGGGACAGATCGTAGAAAGCATGTTTTCAATCATCATCCCACTCCGATATTCGTTGCATTCTAATCGGATTCAAATTTGAAATATAACCATATATATGATACTTCTCCAAGCCATCTTCAATCAATATGTCTCCCTAAAATGTTAACTGTTTCTTATTATTAAGCCACAGCATCTTTGTTGTTTTTGTTGTTCTTAAAATTCCTCCTTGTCGTTCAACAGCTACGTTGAGTTAGCCACACCACCCCCATTCCTGAGAACCGTATCCCGCATCGTAATTTCTTCGGTGAATTAGAGTCAGACGAAAAGGACTGTCAGTGGTCAGTATAAGAAATAATGAAACAGTATTATGGTCATCTTGAAGACCTGTAATATTTTCCCAAGCCAATTAGAAAAGTTGGCCGGCGATCGAACCAGTTGGCAACCAACATGTCTGCATAGACCCTGTTCAAACAATAGAAGCAAAATTGCTCCAGCAAGCAGAGAAACGTTGTCGGAGATATCATATACATAATCTGTCCTGTACTGACATCCAAGGTTTTAACCCAGCCTGAAGAGAGACAGGCTCCGTCAGACTCTTTTGTTGCTACGGCTGCATTACGTGTGGTATCCTAATGACTCTAATAGTTTACGTAACTAGTGCATTACTTGCGGGAAAGTGTACCATTGCCGTGTTGGACTAATCAGCCGCAAGAGAAATCTTCCACCCTGAACGGAGCCAGCTGACTTCGTCTGAATACAGAGTCTACAGCGACGACGATGGACACTACAAAAACTTCACACAATTTAAGATGCTGCTCGAATTTAGAGACGACCAGTTATCAGGCTGTATGTTTAATTTTTTATCTCTATCTATAAAAGGCAGGATGTGTGTGTGTAAAGAATGCACGGCCGCAATTTTCGACGGATTTACACCAAAATTTACATGCACATGCTCCAAGTTAGCGGGAAGGCCAACACCGACTTTGCATTTCCCAACTCCCAACAATAGTGGAAATAATCGATTTTTTCATGCTTCTACGGCACTTTTCATGTAGTTTGCGACCATTTTGTACTGGCCAGAGTGAGAGCCAATAGCTGGCTGTCACGAATAGGCAAAAAGATTCTATTGGTCAGCGTGAGAGCCAACAGCTGACTGACACGAATGTTAACTAGCATGCTGGCATGCAAAAAAAAAAATCGATAGCTGCATTCGTCACAAGTGGGGAAAAATTTAAATCTGCATGGCACTTTACTCCAATTGGCTCATTCACTTGCTTAAACTCAACGTTGATTCTGATTCTGCAGTGAAAAAGTATTTATGTTAACATTCTTTTTTCATTCGGTTTTTCCAGTTACGCGTCCTTTTTTAAAGCTGACCGTTTTGTGTTCATTTTGTTTAGTTCTTTTTTCGTAACAGATTTTATGTTTAGTATAGAGCTTCGAAAAAATTCGGTGTGAGATAGGCAAGAAGTAAGGCATGTAGCAACATCAGCACGGAAAAGGGCACTCATTTAAAGGCAAGGAAGGGCAAAAATATTTTAAGTCAAGTGATAGCGATTGCTGTATGAGTCGCACGATTTTTTAATCAAGCACGGGCAACGTCGGGCCATGCTGCTAGTAAAATATAAAAAAAAGAAAGTTAATGAAAAGAAAGAAAGAAAGAAAGAAAATAACGTTATATATCTCGTTATATTAATTTGAGAAAGGTTAGCTATTCTGAACATTACTGATGCGGAACTGTTTCTGAAAAGAAAAATCAATCCAGATCTGTGCTACAATGCACAGATCCAGCATTCGGAATATTGACTTGGGTGACATATTTCTTTTCCGGTTGCCAAGATGGAAAATGAGAAGAATTTCGAGAAAATGACACTCTTCACGAAGGCCCGATTTTCGCAAAGTGGACGGATGCTCGTGACATGTCAAAGCAATCGTACGAAATCGACACAGAAACTATGTTGATCGGAATTCTTCAAGACATCGCGTTCCCACTTAGTGTGTAAGGTATTACTTGGCAGTGTCAAATACATTTGTGGGCAAACAAGGGATGAATATGATAAGAAAAAGTGACCATAGAATGCTCTGATCTTCTTAACAAAGCACAAAACAAAGGTCCTCCCGCGCGAGTTGCGGGTCGGGCGGAAAGCAAATGATGTGGGACAGAGATGAAGGAATAAAGGAGAAAGGAGAGTAAGAGTTGGTTGGATTAATAAGCGTTGCCTAGTGGATATGCGAATATGCTGTGATTATTGGTTTAGTAAGAGAAGGAAGGAATGAAGGCAGGAAGGAAAGTGCGGAATGAAGAAAAATGGATGTGCCAAAAATAATTGAAATTAAAAGAATGAAAGAAAAAAAAAAATTAAGAGATGAAGAAACATGAAGAGAAAGAAAGAAAGAAAGGGATTGACAGATAAATGAAAAGACAAAAGGAAATGTTATAATAAAAGAAAGAGAGAACAAAAGAAAGAAGGATTCAACAGACAAAAGAAAAGGTAAAGGAAAATATTGTAAGAAAGAGAGAAAGGAAGGCAAAAAGAGAGGGAGGAAAGGGGGAGGAATGGAGGAAAGAAAGAAAGAAAGAAAGAAAAGAAAAGAAAGAAGGATATAACGGGCAAAATAAAAGAAAGAAGGAAAGAAAAATGAAATTGGAATTAAAAAAATAAAATAAAATGAAAAACAAAATATAAAGAATTTATAAAGAAAAATAAACAAAATAAACAAAACGATTTGGAAGAAAGGAAGCGAAAAAAATGAAAGTGATAAAAATGTATAAAAGAAAAGGATAGAAGAAGGAAAATCGAAAGAAAATAGGAGAGATTTAGGAGAAGGAAAGAAGAAAAGGAAGTAATAATGAGTGGGAGGTAAAAATAAAAAAACTAGAAAGAAAGAAAGAAAGAAAGAAAGAAAGAAAGAAAGAAAGGAAGAAAAAACGTGTAATTTGCAGTTTAAGTCCACGCTCATTTCTAATGAAAATTTCCTGAAAATATTCCATTTAGGTGTAGATTTACACGCTTCATTCGAAAATAACGAAATTTTGCGGAAATCTACCGTTCTGGAGTTATCGACAATAAAAGTTCGGACTCATTCGCGTCGCGGATACAGCAGAGCAGCCATTACTGGTGTTGTTTAAATACGTTTCACTTGTCTTGATTAATGCGCAAACTTTGCGCGAAATTTAAAAAGAGCATGATTATTTACAAAATAGAAAAACATGCTAGAAAGGAAATAATAATAATAATAAATTTAAGGTTCAATTTTTTTAGATTTAAAAAACATGTTTACTTAAAAAATATATATTTAAGCATGATTATTCACAAAATTTATTTATATAAAAAGCTTTACTATAAAAAGACAAAACCTGTCATTACTTTTCTAAATAACGTAAACAAATTTACGAAATAAAAATTCCATAAAAACTTCATTTTCACAAGTTTCTGAAAACTTCTTTTGGTTTTAGGCAGTAATTCAGACGAGTAAGATCAGTAAAAAGGACATTTTTTTTTACCAGAGCTCATATTACAATTTGTTATTAATGTTTTTCTCTAGCACTCCGTATTACTGGATTCGGTTCGAAATCACACTCACCTGAGGAAGGTTGGAGCGTACAACGGCCGAAACGTCGTGAATATGGTAACAAAGATGAGGACCACAGTCCAAATATTGTAAATAGTGTAAATAATTACAATACCTCACCTCAGAAATATAGACATATATTGATTGGCAAGTATTAACTGATATGAAATATCCCTTAAGAAATTTAAGAGAATGAGTATAGCTTTCTCCATTGTGCTATGATATTTGCCTAATTTGTCTTTTTTTTTTGTGAGGAATTGAGTTAAAGAAATATATTAACAAAAACAGTAAAACAAACATATACAAGCGAGAGTGTTGCAGCGAAAATGTTCGGTCCGACTGTCAGAGCTGACTGCTAGAAACTTCCCTCTTCAAAAGGCAGTACCTGCTCCTATTTATAGCAGGGAGAGTCCATGCGCGAGTGGATAAATTACCATAACAGTTTTGAATATAGCTTTTTTGTAATATGTGTGTCTTAGTGCATCTAATATGTGTATCTTAGGGCATCTATACGGGTGTATAGATGCACATCATAATATACAGGGATATCTTGGACAATACAAGCAGAAAATGTCTGGTAAACTTATAAATATGTAAAATAGATTTTGGCGAGAAAGATTGTCTAGCACGATGCAGTGAACCAACTTAGCAATTCCACGAAGTCGAATCACCTGTTGGGGTCCGTCTTTTTTTTTTTATCTGAGTGTCGGGATCCTAAACATTTAACAACAACAACAATAAGACATTATTTAAATGAAGCATAAAAAAGGTTATTTTCTGGGGGGGAAAGTATAAGTAGAGCGTCAGAAATATACAATAAAAATGTTTATTGTTCCTTGCAGTGAAGTTTGTTTTATAAAGTAATTAAGTGTTCTTAGTTCGATGCGAAATTTGTGAATAAACTTACTTTATGACAGCCTAATGTGTTTGTGAGTTCGTAGACAAAGGCTTAGTAGGCAGTTGCTGTTTAATCCCTTCTATTTTGATCGTGGACAAGGCCTTAGTCGGTGGCTGTTGGCTGTGGTCTCTTTCATTGTGTGCGTGTGCGGGTGCGTGTATGTGGGTGCGTGTATGTGGGTACGTGTGTGTGTACGGAGGTGTAAATCAATCTGGCCTCTAAAATTGTTTTGAACCCTGAGAAGTAGTATGCTTCTATTTTTATATCCGTAAAGGGATTCAAAATCTAATTTCACATACAGGTGTGAACTTTTTGAATACATGGTTTTCATTGGTTAGAAAATAATTTCACACAGGCTCGCGAAAATCTTTTTTCTCGAATTTTCGGGAATGGTGAAAGGAGTTATTATTGTTATTTTGTAAATGGTCCAAAAAATGTCACGTGGTAGATTTTCAACTACGTCCGCCAAGTATTTTGGCGGTATTTGCCCTAGTAATAATTGTTTATTCAACAAACCTTCTGATGGGATTTTATTGGTTGAAAAATATATATTGGATTTAATTCCTATACGCCCTCATTTGCTCTGTGTTCCAGATGCAAGGAAACATTTCCACCGAAACAGCTTTTTCCCCAAGAACTGATACTTTGTGAAATATGGATGCTTCTATAGGCAAATATAATCTTAACATCTTCAAGTTATGCGTCAATCATTATCTTATCCTCATAATCTTCATTTCTTAGCATGTGCTTTTATTAAAAAGCACATGCTCATTCATCATAACGATTTAAGTAATAATTTTATACATTGGAAGCATCGCTCGATACTTTGCCTAAATTAAAATGACTAGAAAGGCCCATGAAAATTTCATGGTTTTCCTATTTAATTTTTCGGGTGATTCTTAATGCTTAACTGTTAAGTTAATGATTGAATAAATTCATGGCGAGTTCTATGACGATAAAATATCCTAGAATTTCCCATATAACATCGTTAAATATTGTGAACTTATCAACTTTAACAAAATATTGCAATAACCATCATAAATATGAATGATGGTCGTTCTTTTAAGAAGTGACTAGAAATGAAAAGATTTGAAATTGACAATTTCTTTTTCAATTTCACTGAAGCAGCCGTTAAACACTTCGATCTTACCTTCTTTCTTACTTACTTATTTACTTACTTACTTTCTTTCTTTGATTTTCTACAGAAATCAAGTATTTATTTTTTCAGCGCGCACATGTCGCTAATCGCACTGAAACCAAGTAGCGTCTGTTCACTTCTTTCCGGGCGATCAAAACAGAATAGTCCATTATTTATGAGGTATCGGCGGGAGACATTAAACACTCTTATCTATCTATCTATTTATCTATCTATCTATCTATCTATGATTTTCTCACAGAAATCAAGCATTTATTTTTCAGCGCGCCCACGTCGCCAATCGTACTGAAACCAAGTAGCGTCTGTTCACTTCTTTCTGGGCGATCAAAACAGAATAGTCCATTATTTATGAGGTATCGGCGGGAGACATTAAACACTCTTATCTATCTATCTATCTATCTATGATTTTCTCACAGAAATCAAGTATTTATTTTTCAGCGCGCCCACGTCGCCAATCGCACTGAAACCAAGTAGCGTCTCTTCATTTCTTTCTGCATGATCAAGACGGAATAGTCCATTATTTATGAGGTATTGGCAGGAGACATTAAACACTTTTATCTTTCTTTCTATCTTTCTATCTCTCTATGATTTTCTCATTGAAATCAAGTATTTATTTTTCAGCGCGCCCACGTCTCTAATCTAACTGAAACCAAGTAGCGTCTCTTTACTTCTTTCTGTGCGTTTAACACGGAATAGTCCATTATTTATGAGGTATTTACAGATGTTAAACACTTTTCCCTTCCCTTCCTTCCTTCCTTCCTTCATTCTTTCTTTCTTTCTTTCTTTCGTTCGCTTGCTCGTTCGTTCTGGCTAAATCCCCGTCTTGCGAAGATTTCTCAATAATAATTTTAAAATAATTCAGCAGTCGATGCTATTTCATTCAATTTATGGTCATTGGACTTTTGGCGATTGCCTGACTCGGCTTCCCTCGTTTGATACTATGCGTCTGAAAAATGTCGCTTTTATCGCGGTCGCTATCGCTTCTCTGTCTTTTAGCTCGAAGAGGTTCAAATAATTTTAAGCCCGAGCCCTTCAGGCAGTACCTCTTCTTCGGAAGGATGCTGGGTTTATTGCCCGGCGCCTCAGACGTCCTCAAAAGGGTAAGTGCTGAGGGGATTGGCCAATCTTTGCACGGTATTGCCGCTAACCCCACTTTAAGCCTCGACCATGTGTCACATTCGGTAACGACGAGGACACGCTGAAAAATAAACGCTTCTCGGCGTTTTGGCCAAGACCAAAGTGTAGTATCTGTTCTCATCAGCTTAATCTGATTCTCTGTCTCCACTTTTATATTAAGTTGTTTCTTTCTTTCATTTTCTCGCTGAAATCAAGTAACGCGGAACAGTTCATTATTTATAAGGTGTTGGCAGGGCGTAAAGGTCGTGTTAACCAATGAAGCTGGGGGCAAGCACAATTATGAGAGGATAATTCTCCTGATTTTGCAAAATCGACTGGATTTATATTCAATTATATGCTGTGGAAAATATTGCAAAGTTATCCTGGATTATGATGAACTTTTCCAGGCTGTAATTTACTCGATTCTGTTTTTAACCATTCTGTTTTTTCTCTTTTGCTAGATATTCTATTCATCCTTGATTTTTCTTTTTCTCTTCTTTCATTCAACAGAAATTCACATCATTCATAATGCATTGTTTAATATTCTATCTTTTTTTTTTAATAATTATTTCCAAGACTGCCTCCTTTTCTTTCCTAGCAGTACTATTATTCACTTTCCATTCTCTCTCTCTCTCTCTCTCTATATATATATATATATATATATATATATATATATATGTGTGTGTGTGTGTGTGTGTGTGTGTGTATGGAGAGAGAGAGAGAATTTTTATTCTTTTCTCTGTTTCTTCACTCTCTATAATCCCCAACCACTTTTTTCTCTCCCTCTAAAGTTACTATTATTATTTCTCTCTGTTTCTGGTTGCCTACATGTATCTCTCTCTCTCCTTCTCTCTCTCTCTCTCTCTATCTCTCTCTCTCTCTCTCTCACTCACTCCCCTTCTCTCATCGCTTTTCCACTATTCCTTGCTTGGCATTTCTTCACGACTGTGTGTTTTTCTCTTTTCTCTCTAACGAGCTGTTTACTCAAGCTCTCTTTTCTCTCTCTCTCTCTCTGCTTTCTATCTCAGTCTCTCTCTCTCTCTCTCTATTATTCCATTCTTTCCACTTTCTTTTCTTTTCTCTTACAGTCCCTTTTTAGAATCTTGTTTTCCCTCTCTCTCTCTCTTAGCCTTTATTCCTCTCAGTTTGTATATCTTTCTCCCCCCGTCTTCGCCATTTTGTTTTTCTGCCTTCTTTATCTTCTTTTTATGCGTTATTTGAAAATCTCTCTCTCTTTAAATCTATCTATCTATGATGATTTCAGTGATCAGTATGGATATTTCCAAAAGGATATAAATCCAGGGAGAGCTCTATGTCAGAGACAGAGCAATAATATATATATATATATATATATATATAACTCTATTTTTCTTTTTTTTTCTTTCTTTTTTCTAATTTACTATTAGTTTGAAAGCCTCTTTCTCTTTTTCTCTTTCACTTTGTACTGCTCACTGTTTTGCTCGATATTTCGGACATTTCAAAGTCTCCCGTCTCTCTCTCTCTCTCTTTCTCTCTTTATATCCTTGTTTCTTTCTTTTTCTCCCCCACACGCTCACACACACACGCACTCATTTCCACTCTCCACATCCACAATTTTCTTCTTCTTCTTCTTCTTTCTCTCTCGTTTACGCAAATTTTGATTTCTTTATTTCTCTTCTATTTTACGGCCCGTTTGAAATGATATCTATCTATCTATCTATCTATCTATCTATCTATCTATCTATCTATCTATCTATCTATCTCAGTCTCTTGATTCTATCTATCTATCTATCTATCTATCTCAGTCTCTTGAATCTATCTATCTATCTATCTATCTATCTATCTATCTATCTCAGGCTCTTGATTCTATCTATCTATCTATCTATCTATCTATCTATCTATCTATCTATCTATCTATCTATCTATCTCAGTCCTTTTCATATCTATCTATCTATCTATCTATCTATCTATCTATCTATCTATCTATCCCAGTCTGTTGATATCTATCTATCTATCTATCTATCTATCTATCTATCTATCTATCTATCTATCCCAGTCTGTTCATATCTATCTATCTATCTATCTATCTATCTATCTATCTCAGTCTCTTGAATCTATCTATCTATCTATCTATCTATCTATCTATCTATCTATCTATCTCAGTCTCTTGAATCTATCTATCTATCTATCTATCTATCTATCTATCTATCTATCTCAGTCCTTTTCATATCTATCTATCTATCTATCTATCTATCTATCTATCTATCTATCTATCTATCTATCTATCCCAGTCTGTTCATATCTATCTATCTATCTATCTATCTATCTATCTATCTATCTATCTATCTATCTCAGTCTCTTGAATCTATCTATCTATCTATCTATCTATCTATCTATCTATCTATCTATCTATCTCAGTCTCTTGATTCTATCTATCTATCTATCTATCTATCTATCTATCTATCTATCTCAGTCTCTTGAATCTATCTATCTATCTATCTATCTATCTATCTATCTATCTATCTATCTATCTATCTATCTCAGTCCTTTTCATATCTATCTATCTATCTATCTATCTATCTATCTATCTATCTATCTATCTATCTATCCCAGTCTGTTCATATCTATCTATCTATCTATCTATCTATCTATCTATCTATCTATCTATTTTACTCTTATACGGCCCGTTTCTACTCTATATCTATACGGTTCTATTTTCCTTTCTTTATCTTTTCTCTTACGATCTTTCTGTCTTTGTTTTCTCTTTCATTTCCCTATCTTTCTCTCTCTCAGTTCCATATCTGCACACCTAACTTTTTTGCCTGTTACGTACCATTCCAAAGCCTCCCAGCCCGTCCACACAATTTTGTTTCTTTTTCCCTCTTGTGTTCCTCCCTCTCACAACACTTTCCAACGTTTTCCGTTCTGCGATGTCGTCAACAAAATTTATTCTTATTCAGTTATTCATTGTTTTTATTTAGTTTCAATCTATCTTCCCATCTATTTCGACAGCATCAGATCGAGCCGGCTCGCAACGTATTAA